GAGGGAGGAAGATCAGACCCGAGCTGGGTGGTGGCTGTGCTTGGAGTGATTCTGTTCAGTTTGGGAGACCCCCAATTCAGGGGTCTGGGGCTGCAGGATGGGGGGGGTAGGCTGGAAGTCCTGGGTGGCCTTTTCTTGGCCCTCACCACAGGGGCTGCTGGGTGCAGTGTCCTCAGAGGGGCTGCTTCTCTCCAGGCGAGCCAGCATGGAGGGGGATGTGGGCCTCCGGAATAGCTTGCTGGGGAGGGGCAGAAGGGAGAAGGGACAAGGGACTTGTAGCCCCTGGGATGGGAGGCAACCCACTGGTGTCATCCAGAGCACTCCCGTGCTGCCCTCCTTTCCTGCCGGCCCCTCGTAGTTGTTGGGCCTCACCCAAGGCTGGAGCGAGGAAAGACCTTCTTGATGGCTGCGGCAATGTGCTGGGCCAGCTGTTCCAGAGCAGCCACGCCAGGAAACTCCAGGACCAGCTCAGGCAGGGACTCTAGCTCAAAAGTCACCTGGGGCGGGACGGCGGCTGGGTTGGGCTCCACGTTCGGGCGCAGGTGGAAGGGGAGGTCAAAACCAGGCTGCAGGCCATGGGGGTGGGGTATTAGAGGTCTCACCTGAGGGGGCGTCTCCTGCAGCGCCATGGCCTGGACCTCCAGGTAGCTGAATGTGCAGTCCACCTGCAGAGAGCCAGTCAGCCGGAAGCCTGGCCCTAGGAACCCCCTGCCCCGGGATCCCAATCCCCTGTGCGGCTGGGAGCTCAGAGCCAGCCCTGCCCGTGACAGAGCCCAGGGCTGTGCGAAGGGCAGAGCCCACGGGACAACCCTCACCCAGGAAGCTGCTGGAGGGCAAGGTGGAGTGGCAGTCAGCCCCTGGCACTCACCCTCAGGGGGAGGCAGGTGTGGAGCAGGTAGGCTCTCCATCGTAGCAATGCCTGGGGGGAGAGAGTGTCTGACGCCCTGGGCAGGCCAAGAGGCTCTTTTTGCCTGGGCCCCAGAGGCCCTCCCAGGCTCTGCCCCCTGCCATACCAGGACATGACCTCGCTCAGCACCCTCCCGCTCTGGTAGCCAGGTTTTCAGCAGCAGCTCGGCCTCCTTGGGCCACAGGAACCTGGTGATCTCGCCTGTGGAACGGCAGCCTGCTGGGTGATTTGGTCCTCCCGCGGAGGGCAACGCATGCCCATGGTCTGTACCAGGCCTGTGGCCTGGGCTCATCTATGGGCCAGCAAGGAAGGAGTGGAGTGGGTGTGGGGGGCGCCAAGCTCTTCCGAGGAGCAGAGAGAACCGCTTGCAGATGCTCCTCGGACGCTGGGTGTGCTCCGGCTCTGGAGCCAAGTAGGCGGGAAGGGCCAGCGCTCACCTCTCAGCTCACACGATATGCCGTCGGGGGTCTGGGCCATGGGGCCGGGCCGGGCCGCCGGGTGGCCCCAGGAGCTCGGACGAGAAACAGTTGCGGGCGGGCGCGCACACAGGAAGCCTGGGGGCCCTGGCCCGCACTGCAGCCACCTGCTCCTCCTGCAGCGGAAGGTACGCGCTGCTTCCTGCCAGGCCGCCCCCAGCCCGGCTCCTCCCCGCCCCGGCCTCCGCGGGCCAGGAGACGTAGGAGGGGGGCAGAGTCCCAGCTGTCCGCCCGCCCTGTCGCGCAGGAGCTACTCTGGCAGGGCAGGCATGGGGGTAGGAGTTGGGTGGCAGGGACGGTCGCGCGTGTGGCGCGCGCCTCTTGCGGTTCCTAGCCCTCTACTTCCACCCCGCGCCGCAGTCCCTGCCGGGAGCACCAGGGGGCGCTGCCCGCTCGGGGATCCCTGCGGCCCACCCGCGTTGGTCCACTCCAAAACCCAGCTGGGGCGGTGGACTGGGGGCCCGGCCCGGAGGGGCGTCTATTCAGCAAGGAGAATCGGATCTCTCCTAGAACCTCTCCCAACACCCGAGGCTTAACCTGAAGGACTTAATCTGTTGCTCCTAACCTGGAGTCTGTGACCCCGTCAGAGATCCACCAACTTTTTTTTTTTTTTTTTTAAGTAATCTCTATGGGGACTCGAACTCATGGGCCATGGGCCGGACATCAAGAGTCGCATGCTCTACCAACTGAGCCAGGCAGGCGTCCCGGAAATCCACCAGCTTTTGAAATGGCAGAAAAAAATGCCAGATGGGCTCAGGCACCCTTCTCTGCTGCGCAGGATCCTCAGCTCTCATCAGGCTCAGGCTGGACGAAGGCTGGAAGGTGGGAAGTACCCTCAGGGAGCAGCCTTGGGCTAAGGCCTAAACCCCAAGGGCCTCGGGGAGGGATGAGCAAAGGCCAGGTACATGGGGATCCTCCGTGTCTGCATCCTCTCCCTTCCACGGGACCTCACCTCTGCTGGCTGGAAGGGGTCAGGAGGTCATGGGGTGGGGTCCTGCTAACTGGAAGCATGCTGCCCTATAAAAGACCAGGGACCTAGAATCTGGAGGATTCACAGGAGATTTATTATTTTTTCTTCCACTACAATCCAATTAAACTGTCACTTATTAGGAACAGCCCTCTGCCCTGCCCACAGCTCAGCCCGGCAGAGGTGAAATAACCTTGAGAGTAGATGAGAGATGTTGAGCAGGGTCCCTTGGCTTCCTTCCCATCTAGCTACCCCTCCTCACCTCAGGGCTTGGAGCGAAGTGGGAACATGCTCCAGTCAGGTGATCATTCCCACCCCCAACAAAATCTCCTATCTACCAAAGACTGAGACGAAGTGGCTGGAGAAACTGAACAATAGCAGCTTGAGCAAAGCCTCCCCTCAAGCAAGGGGCCCATGATGTGAAAGCTGAGGACTGACTAGGGCGGACGGGAGGACTCAGCCAGAGGTGTTTCTGCAAACGGAGGCACCAGTCTTCTGATGTCTCCCAGTTTGCAAGAAGAGTTTGGGTTAAGATTTAGGACTCCTTCTAAGACCACATAGAACCCACAAGTTGCTTTTAGGGTGAGAACTCAATAGGTCTCTCGCACTCTCAGCAGGCCGAGCGGTCGGTCGGTCAGTGGAAAATGCTGGTTCTAAAGGCCGACTGCCTGAACGTTCGTCCTGACTCCACCTCTTACCAGGTGTTCCACACTCAAGAAGTCACAACCTTTTTGGGCTTCCAGTTCCCGTTTCGTAAGCTGGAGCTATTAACTTACCTCAGAGTGTTGCTATGAGGCTACGAAATGCTGTTTAAGTGCTCACAGCAGGGCCTGGCACTCTGGGAATGTGCACACACAGCGGCCACATCGGCCACGGCAACCCTGGGGCTCCCCAGCAGACCGAGAGGAAGCACACCTCGCCGGGGGTTTTCTGTTGAGAAGGATTTAGAGGGGAAATACAAGAGAGAAGGACTGCAGGAGGAGACTGGAGGCGAGCAACACGCTGGTGGCATCTGCCCCTGACAAGAGCAGACCAGAAAGGCACGGAAACCAGGGCAGGGCTGTGGGACTCGCCACGTACCTCCGAACTGCTGCTGGTCAGGGCGGCAGCGACCCAACTGCCACAACTCTATCAGAGACCCAGGGAACACATGGGACTCAGCTCCTAACATGCTGAGTGACTCTGCGAGGGGGAGAGGCCTCCGGCTCGTCTGTGTTCTAGGCGGCAGGACGCTCCATGGGCGCCCAGGAAATGCTAAAAGCGCCTCCTGCCGCCGCCGCAGCGGAGGAAGAGGGGCCGGGCTGCACCTGCCGCTGCGGCCACAGGTTCCCTGCAGATCGTTTAGAAGCTCAGAGCCAGACCACCGGCAAGAGGAGGGCCCAGGTGAGGAAAGGGAGTATCTTACTCCAGTACCTGCTACGGCCTAACAGTGGGGGAGAGCTGACAGGTCAGGAACCACCCCGTCCACAGTTCTCTAGTGTGCAGTGAGAAATGGCTTCTGCACTTCAATGTTTATATTATACAGAAGGTTTTATATATAATGGAGTCACACAGGGTGCATCATAGGCTATGCAATGGGGGATCCTAAGTTTCTACTCCATCAGAATGGGACTCTTCTTGCCCCCTCTCCATCCAAAACTATCTTTTAAACTTTCAAACAACCTGCATGTACACAATGAGAGAGAAAAAGCTATGCTGAAGATAAAGATCTCACTGTTCTGCAGACATCTTCTATTATGAACACCAAAAAATTTAGAAAATCGTATGGCCACTGAAACACTATGGTAGGGGCTAGCCCATGCCTGAGACAAAGACCCCATACTCTGACAGCCTCGGGTCGCTCACATCAGGTCCCAGGAGCCAACTGCCAGGTTCTGAGTCTTGAGGCCTCAGATGCCCATTTTCCTGGGAGACGTGACTACGTGGACAGTACTAGCAGCCAAAGGTCACACACACCTCACCTTTTGTTACTTCTCACTGAAACCACTAACTCAGAATTCTGGTTAAAAAGCCCCAGAATTAGTGGTTGAAGCTTTTAACTAAGATGGGTTTGCCAAAGCTAGCTGCCCAGAATGGCCAGCAGCAGCAAGAGGGCGCTTCACTAACACACCACAGTTTCCTATCCCAACTACCTTTCCATGGTGCCTCCCGCGGCGCTAACAAGCTGTGCTGTCTAGGAATCTCTCCCTGCAGCCTGGTGACTGACCCTGTCTCCCCTCCCAAATGACCTTCTCTAGGGCAGACTGGGCCCAGCTTCCATTGTCTTGCACTTGACAGAACTCAAGGTACTGACCTCAGCCCTCACAGAGCAGAGGTCTAGAGGACAGAACTTCCCATGAGCCCCCTTCTTCTCTAACCTCTGTGGTCACCCCTCTGCTGCAGGGACCCACCCGTAAGGTGGATCACGGAGGCTGGCAGCTGTCCATCCACACCTTGCTACTCACACACACCTCTGTGGAGTTAAAACCTGTGGTGGGATTCACTCAGTAACCCCACCATTTGCCAAGATCATCTCGGAAGTGCTGGACAGGAAGTGGCCATCCCAGGAATAGAGTTCGCCTCTGCACGGCGACCAGGACTGCAGCACCTGAGGCCATGCACGCGGACCTGTGTGGCCCCCGGCAGGCAGAGACCACACGTGACGGGAGTGTCTGGAGCACTTGTTAATCCGTTATGATTTATTAGCTGTACAGCAGTAGGTCCTCCTCCCCAGCTTTCAACCCCATTACATATTTTATTACAGGTCTCATGTTGGCGTCCTAAAATAATGAAAAATATCACACAGTACAGCTAAGTACAAAATGCATCAACCTAGAGTCTGATAGCTAACTGATGGCTCTTTTAAAAGCAATACACAGAAGAAAAAAGTGTTTGAAATCAGCAAGACTGAGGCTCTCTAAAAAACACATTTCAAACGTGTGACAGTTCATGTGCAAGAATCACTTTTGAGTTGGTTTTGTTTCACATTATTTTGTTTTGCAGATCCAAAGTTTAAATTACTGACCTAGTGAAATTTTCTGGCCCAGCTTTTAAGGGCTGCTGTGACCCACTCATAATCACCCTTCTGCTTGAACAGAGGAATTATAAAACACAAAATTCAGCTACAAACAGAGCAAAGAAAATGTAGATGGGAAATCATAACTGAAAGTTAATTGTACAAGGTTCAAATGCTGGCTCCACGGGCTGGAAATCGCGATCTTCCGTGTGGGCGTCCGTCACTAGCGGGCAGCAGTCTCGGTGCCATTCTGCTACATGATTGTGATCCAATTCCTTGTCAACATTTACACACGACAGAGTCTGTGGTAACTTAATTTGCAAGTAATTAAAATGCTGGGTTTTCTTACACTGCACTTCTTTTCACCCTCTTAATTAATGGAAAAGATTAAAATGTAAAAAAAGTTATTTACAAGCTTGACCATACCAGAAACTCTGCCCAGAAAGAGGCAAAGCCTTCAGGACAGACGCCGGCCGCGGCATGCCATACTACTGGCGTGCAGCTGGCTCCGAGCAAAGGGAGCCAGGGAGAAGCAGAAGCAAAAACCAGTTTAAAAGTGTAAGTCCTTCCCAAGTCTGCATTTACAATTAAAAACTCTCCTGGGAAGAAGACCTAGAACTCTGGGAAACCCGGTGGCCATTCTGGAGTGGTTTACCATAGCAAGAGAGAGGGTTCAATGTCTCTGTTTCCATCTAAGAAAACCAGTTAGGCATCAACACTGTCCTCAGCACTTCACAGTAAACCCTCAGGGACTCAGAACATTCCATGATTTGCTAACATCAAACAGCAAGTTCTAGTAAAATCACATTTTTCTAACATCATCCTTGAAGTTTTAGTTCTCAGTGTGTTTGGTAAAATGGTGTAAAATGATGCTTTTCCCAAAGCCAAAAGAAGAAAGAAGGGAGAAAAATTAAGATGCGGGCCGTTTAAACACAGCCCAGAGCAGTCCTGGCGATGAGCAAGGCCCCGCCATCACCGGTCCATCATGCTGAGGATCATCTCAGGCGTGAGGTCTCCGTTGGGGGCGTCTGTGGCGGCTGGCTGGGCCTCCTCTTCCTCCCCCTCCACGGGCTCTGCGTCTGGCTCTTTTTTGACTTCAACTATAATGTTCTCAATTGCACCTGTATTCTGGTCTTCCACCTGGATGATGGCTGTTGCTGGCAAGAAAGAGCATGAACAAAACAAATGCTCCATTAAAGCCCCTGAGGATTGCAAGGGTCCCGTCAGACTTGACACTAAATGGATGTCAGCAATGCAGGAAAGCCTTTTAGCAAGGACACAGAGAAAGTCATTAAAAAAAAAAAAGACTTAATGACCTAAAATATGGCCATTCATAAAGCCCCAATACTCTTTGGCTATCAAAGAACAAAATGCTGACATTCATGTTCATATGCCTCCCAAATTCCATACTAAAAGCCTTAGTTTTCCTTTATGTCATGAAGCTGAGCTTTGCACTAGTACGAGAGAGGCAAATGATGCAGATAGCACACGACTAAAACGACCTCCCGAAGTGTGTGATGCAGGGTCGGGTTGGGAGGTGAACCACCTACAGCAAGAACATCCATTTCTGACCCTGAAGTGTCCCACACCCAGGGCCCTCCACCAGTGTTTTCGCTCAAGTATGTGTAGGCGAAATGGCTCCCAGGGTCTACAGTCACCCCCCGACCCTCAAACCGACATTTACACATGGGCTCAGGGAGTACATTAAAAAAAAAAAAAAATCTTGCGTTTTTTGAAGAAAAAACCCTGCCTGCCAACTTTCAGGATATCCACAACAGAGAACAGAACAGAGACTTGAGTCCCCCAGAGCCTGCTGTCACAAGGGTCGTGTCCACTGCCATCTGTGCTATGAGGTAGAGGGCGAACACCTCTGCCGTGTCCGCTCCTACAGCAGAAGGCCAACCCTTGAATCCACAGGCCTGTATTTCTTAGGAGGAACACTCAGCACAGAAATTGCTTTATCCTTCATCCCTTAAACTTTGGCTCTTTTACATTCATTACCATATCAATGCTGCCAGCTGACTGGGATGTTGGTTGTTTTGCAGAATCCTCCCACAAAGTCCCCATCTTGTGAACATGCACGCAACAGGCCTTCTCGGGTCTTCCTCACGTGTTTCCCAGTAAAAACTAAATAATCGATTCCTGACAGTTTGTTCCTGGTGTGACCTTAACTTGTTCTCATCATCCCCCAAAACAAGGACCCATCTGGCTCCTGCCCATGCTGGGAGCAGCCGCCAGCCTCCAGCCTACTAGATGGAGACAAGGAACTTACGCTGGGTCTGTTTGGGCTGGTTGGTTCTGCCAGGAGGGCGTCCTCTCCGCTTCTTGGCAGGGGGTGGGGCTGGGGTCACAGGCTGAGGCTCTGGCTCGGGTTCAATTTCCACAGCAGGTTCCTCCTCATCCTCATTGTCATCCAGGTCTGGCTCAGCATTTTCTTCTCATGAAATCAGGAGTAACATGGGGGGGCGGGGCGGGCAGGGAGAAGTACAGTGGAAGAAAAATGACACACACACAAAATCATATATTCTGTTAAGTCTAGTTACATATTTATTTTCATCAACAGAAGTCCATTTAAAAATGCTTTTGTTAGAATTAATACACAAATCAACTCGAAGACTACTACTCCTACTTTATGTGGACTGGATTATTACTTTTTTCTTTTAGCTTTAGACATCAGAATATTAAGTTTCAAAAAAAATTTTTTTTAAAGATTTTATTTAGGGTGCCTGGGTGGCTCAGTTGGCTAAGCAACTGCCTTCGGCTCAGGTCATGATCCTGGAGTCCCGGGATCGAGTCCCGCATCGGGCTCCCCGCTCGGCGAGGGGCCTGCTTCTCCCTCTAACCCTCCCCGCTCTCATGTACTCTTTCTCACTCTCTCAAAATAAATAAATCAATCTTTAAAAAAAAAATAAAGATTTTATTTATTTGACGGAGAGAGAGAGAGCAAGAGCAGGAACACAAGCAGAGGGAGTGGGAGAGGGAGAAGCAGGCTTCCCACCAAGCAGGGAGCCCGATGTGGGCCGAAGGCAGATGCTTAACGACTGAGCCACCCAGGCGCCCCAAGTTTCAAATTCTTAAGAGGCAATTCCATCATATGCCAGATATATAACAATACCACAGTGTTTAAGTTGAAAACATATATTCCCTCTATTACGCAAAGATAAAGCAGAGTACTGAGCCTGAGACAGACCCTCGAAGATGTGCTCCTGCCAGTCTGAGTAGGCAGAAGATACGTGTGTGTACACGCACGCATACACAACATAAATTCCTATTGCATTGTGAGGTCCTATTACTAGGATAAGCAGCAAGTGTTCTTCTAGGACTGTGACTGATTTTTTTTTTAAAAAAGATTTATTTATTTATTTAGAAAGACAGACACACGGGGGCGGGGGAGGAAGCAGAGGGAGAAAGAATCCTCAAGCTGACTCTGCTGAGCATGGAGCCTGACATGGGGCCCAATCCCACAACCCGGAGATCATGACCTGAGCCGAAATCAAGAGTTGGCCACTCAACCTACTGAGCCACCCAGGCGCCCCCTGATGGCTTTTTTTAAGGCCAAGTTTTTTAACTTAATTCTCAGCTATGCCAGAATCAATGGGTCATTCTTAACTCCCTAATTTTCTCTCTGATGCCATCATCATAGAGGGGACTATTGTATAAAGAATACTGACAAGGAATCAGGTGTGTGACTTGGGACAATGACCACAGTGAACCTCAGTTTTCTTATATAATCTCTAAAGCACCCCCAACCTACTTACTAGTGATTTGAGGATCAGAAGGATTGAACTGTAACACATGTAATCATGCTCTGCAACTTGGGACTCCACTACACAGACACACTTCTTGTTTGCACCATGTGTCACAGTTTTTAACATTCTCCATTATTCCATTTTGGCTTCATTACTTCATTTAATAAGAGGTGCTACCCTCATTTTATAGAAAAAGTGAGAAGCTAAGTGATTTGGAAGGCATGGCTAAATTATAGCAGGCAGAACTCAACCTCCAGCCTCCGCCTGGGGCTGTCCTGCTGCCCACCCCTGGGCCGCGGTTCCGGGGCTCCTGCTACCCCAGCCCCTTGCCACACATGGCACGCGAAGTACACTCCCTGCTTGCCTCTGCCTCTGAGAAGTACAGGTTATGCTGTCTTTCTTTAGGAACAGACATTTACATTTAGAAATCTAAGAGTAAAGGCCTCATCTTCAGGACAAAATGCCTTGTCAAATCCTAAGTGAAAATGTGGGGAACACACTGGTATGTGGCAGTGTGTCAAGAACGAGATGAGATACTTCCCTGTTGAACTTATTCAAGCCCCCTATTGCCTAAGTTGGCCCAATGCCAATTCAGTCAGAATTGGGGGAAAAAAAGCACACAAAGAAGGTTAATAGGGTCAAAGGCTTATTGGCTTGGAGAGATTTTGGCAAAAAGCCTTGAAAATAGCAGTAGATTCTGCTGGTTAATCTCTGCAAGTGGCCAACAGGCAGAACTTCTGGGAGAGGACAAATGTGACTGTGTGGCCTTGGTCAGCAGCGGGATGGAAAGCCCAGACTTTCTGGGGGGATAAAAAGACACTAGGTACAAGGCCCAGAACCAAACTGTGCTCTACAAGCCAGCAATGCGTAAGACAAAAGAAGGAGTTGCAGCATCTATTAGCAACCATCAGTAAAGTCTTCTGCTGAAAGATGCTCTGGTGATGCATAATTAGGGAATGAAGCCTATCTTACTGGGAGATGAACCACAGAAGTGACCAAGGTGGTACCATAAGCAAGAAGGCTAAGTAAGGGCCAACATCTGTGGCAGTAGGAGGCTCTGCAACTAGAAGCACCTACAGAGATCCTCCAGCTCAAGGTTATCTGTGGATCTCTGGTAGCACTTGGGGCCTGTGATTTTTTTTTTTTTTTATTTGACAGAGAGAGACACAGCGAGAGAGGGAACACAAGTGAGGGAGAGGGAGAAGCAGGCCTCCCACCAAGCAGGAGCCCGATGTAGAGCTCGATCCCAGAACCCCAGGATCATGACCCAAGCCGAAGGCAGACGCCACCCAGGTGCCCCTGTGATTTTCTTTTTTTTTTAAAGATTTATTTTAGAGCAAGAGCGAGCAAGCAAGAGAGACCACATGCGAGTGGGGTGAGGGACAGAGGGAGAGGGAGAGAATCCCAAGCAGACTCTCTGCTGAGCATGGAGCCTGATGCGGGGCTTGATCTCAGGACCCTGAGATCACGACCTCAGCTGAAACCAAGAGTTGGACACTCAACTGACTGAGTCACCCAGGTGCCCCCACTCATTAATTTCTTAGTCAAAGGGTCCCACAAAGATTCTCAGTACAGAATGGCATATATGTTTTTTTTTTTTTTTAAGATTATTTATTTATTTGAGAGAGAGTGTGCATGCGAGCAGGAAGGAGAGGCAGGAGGAGAGGGAGAATCAGGCTCTCCGCTGAGCAGGGAGCCTGACGCCAGGGCTCAATCCCAGGACCCTGAGATCATGACCTGAGCCAAAGACAGATGCCCAACCAACTAAGCTACCCAGGCGCCCCAGGAGAGAATGGTGTGCTTTTAAGTAAACCGACATTTTAAAGGAGGCATGTTTACTGAAAACCCAGTGAAGAAGAGAATGCTTAAATTAGATTTTCTAAAAAAGGCAGCAAAAAATAAACTACTCTTACACTTACTGGATGAATATTCTCCCAGAAAAAGTAAAAGTTCTAAACAGAAAAGGTTTTATTAAAATAAACAAAATACACAAAAACTAAAAGGGACCTTGTTACAGATCTAAATATAAAAAAACCTAGTGCTTTCATGAGCAAGTTTTACATAAAATCAATGGAGAGACTGAAGTTTTCAAATATTTTCAACCTTCAAAAAATTTTAATCCCTCCCCATTATTACTAACAAGCAATGCAAAACAAAATGAGGAGCCTTAGAAACACATAAGGCACCATCTGGGCGCCTGGGTGGCTCAGTTGGTTAAGCGACTGCCTTCGGCTCAGGTCATGATCCTGGAGTCCTGGCATCGAGTCCCACATCGGGCTCCCTGCTCAGTGGGGAGTCTGCTTCTCCTCTGACCCTCTCCCCTCTCATGCTGTTTCTCTATCTCTCTCTCAAATAAATAAACAAACAAATAAATAAAATCTTTAAAAAAAAAAAAAAACACATAAGGCACCATCTATAATTTCTCCAGTCTGATGGTGCTTCTGGGGAAGTGTATTCCCCAAAACAAAACCCCTCTACATACATCTTTTACCATAAAAAGCTTAAATCTTTAGTCACAGATGTGCCTTCTCAACTACTTGGCCAGCAGCCCAAGCACCCACATTACAGAGCCTAAAACCATGAGACAAGTGTGTACCATCCAATGTGACTCTCCGTTATTGACGCTCTTGTTCTCCCTCCCTCTTCATGAGTCTAGCACCTCAAAGCATACCTTCTGCCTAGATTTCATGACTAAAGTAAAAAAAACCCCCAACAGCATCAACGGTAGGAAAACAGGCAAAGCGTCACATTATAAAACGGAGAGATTAAGGTAGGAAGAGAAAGGCTGACCTTCATGGATTTGATCAACACATCTCAAGGCTAGGCTGACAGAGGCAGTCAAACCAGAAGTTGGTCAAGATGCTTAAGAAAACTTCTTCATGTCCATTAGATTCATTGCTCAAATCTAGACCAGATTCCTAAATGTAAAAGTTACGAACATAGAAAAGAAACTCTGCTGGCCTTAGAATATCACTAATCTGAGGAAACTGAGTCGACATACTAATTTTGCTTGGGCCTTAACTGAACATGTAACATGTAAGGTATTATCAAGCAATGGAATACCAGGAGAAAAAAACACACAAATAAACAAAAAACACGATCTTTTCCCAGAAACAAACTAGCTGCTGCTATAAATATATAACATACATTAGGGAGACTAGAGGCTATAAAGGAAGTAAGAATGATTGGCCTCTCAATCCCAGTCCATCCATACATCAAAGTACAGGCAACTGGGCACCAAAATCTACCACGTGTAACAAAATCAAGAAATAAGTTACTCACCACTGTCAGAGGAGTCTTCTTTTTTGGAACGCATCTTTCTTTTTCTGCCACGTTTACTCTTCTTTGTTTCCCCTCCGTTTTCCCCTTCTACGCCATCTGGACCAGCACAATTGTCAGCATGTCTTGCCATGGTATTCTAACGGAAGAAACAAAATCTTCGTTCACGTTACTAAAAAAACTGGTATCAGAAATTAGAAGTTCACTTACTTTAGTTTTAATAAAATAAAAATTTCGGGTATTCATTATCTAGTCTGAATGTTCTAGTATGTGCTAATAAGCACATCCTGAACATGCTCTCCTCATTCAAGGGAAATGGGTCTCCATCTGGAAGAGGGAGAGAGAAGGAAGGAGGGGGGAGAGGGAGAGAGAGAAAGGGAGAGAGGGAGGGAGGGAGGGAGGGAAGAGAGTCCCTCAGAAGAGGGGCTGGGTCCTCTCAGCAGCCTGCAGGCAAGAGAACACAGGAGGATCAGACCAGCCCCCTGTCCTGTGCAGACCTAACATGGCCCCAAAGGAAGATCCAAGAAAGACCTATTTCAGATACTGAGCCCCCCCTTCAGCAGGAGGGTTCACACATGTACAGAAAAGCTTGAGGTGGGGATGAGTGGCCCTTTCCAAATGATAAGGCATCTCTGTGCTTATAACTTCAGTGGAAAAAACTGCCCTGCTTTGCATTGGAAGATCAAGAACATGATATTAAGAACCGTGATAAGGAAAGTTAAGTTCTGACTCTCACCCGGCGTGTAAAGGTTTTCCCACACTTAGAACAGACAAAGGCCGCAGGGACAAAGTTGGGGTCATGATAGCGTTTGAAGTGCATGTCGAGGAGCTGTTTCTGGCGGAAGGTCTTGTCGCAGTGGCTGCAGGCATAAGGCTTCTCCCCAGTGTGGGTGCGCTTGTGCATGATCATGTGCCTCTCCTGAAAGACAGCAGGTGGGGAAAGAGGCCTCAGAGCCTGTCACAGGGCTGCTACCCCAGCCACCATCTGCACACATGTGGTCGACAGGCCTTTCTCTCCGGAAGGGTCTAGGCTCTGCTTCTCCAGAGGATAAAATTATCTTTACGGAGGTGCAAAACTGCTTTCTTAAATCCCAGTACGGATATGCTCCCTCTGGCTGGGCTGCCTGCCTGTCTAGATCACCCCTAAGCCCCAGGACCATATTCTTTTCTTATCTCAGGTCCTGGACTTAATTCTCCCGGTTTTGATAAAGCAGCCAGGAGTTTGCCTGAGGGGGAGGTAAGCTATGACTGAATAAAACATCAGCTGGAGACTGAGGTGATAACATCGAGGAGACCGACCTTTGGTGATATTCCTCGTAAGTCAGTTTGAAAATACCATCCTTAAAAACAGTTACTATATAAGGAATCTAAAAACCCTCTGATAAAACCTGACACTGATGGGGAATCAACTGCTTTCTAACTATGAAGGTCTCTACCTGTCTGCAAGCGTAATCACACTGGTCACACTTAAAGCGCTTCTCGTTCTTGTGTGACTTCTGATGCTGGATGAGGGCATAGCGCTCATGAAACACAGCATCGCAGTATCGACATTTCTTGCCTTGCTCAATGTAGGAATGCTGCTTTCGCAAGTGGACACCTGAAAGCAAAACACAAATCCCAGTCTAACTTGTGAAAACAACAAACAAGCATTTCATTAAGTTAATAATACGTTCTTCTCTGCTTCTTAAAACATTTACTCTGGCTGCTATCCTGAAAGTGAATTAAAAGACAAAAAGAGACGTGGAAAGACTAGCTAAGATATGGAAACAGGACAGGTGAGAGAGGGTGGTGGCTTGGAAGGAGCAGGGAGAACTGAGACCCAGAAAGTAGCATCAACAGGATTTATTCACTGAATACAGAACAAGAAAGAAGGTGGGTGTCAATAGACGACCTCCAGGTTCCTGGCTTTGAAAACCGGGTAGGCACTTGGGGCCGTTTGCTGAGACAAGGAACAGTGGAAAAGGGCTAAAGCTCTTTGTTTTGGGGAAAGGGGGCAGGGGGGTTTTAGACCTTCAGTTTTGAACCTGTTGAACTTGATTAAATGCCAATGATATCAAACTAGGGATGGCAAAGGCTAGATAAGCCTAGCTCAAAGGAAAGATTTAGAGTAAGAACTGGAGTTGTTGGGATTTGAATTAGCTCACGGGAGTTCAAGAAATCACTAAGGCAAAAAGAAAAAGAGTATGGGTCACACTTTAAGAAAGCTAACAGGTAAGGCCAGTGGAAGGAAAAAGGGTTAAAACGAGAAGGATGAGAAAGAATAAAGAAAGCCAACAGGCTATCGTGCCATGGAAACCAAGGGAAGAAAGTGTTTTAAGGAGGATGGCACAGTCCACTAGAATATTCTTAGATCAAGAAAGATGGTAAATGGAATGTTCCTAAGCAATGTGGTGTTTAGTGATCTTAGCAAGAGTCACTTTACAGAATGGGGTGTAAGCTAAGATGGGACGGCAATCAGAAACTGAGGAAGGAAGACTGTGAGGGATAGAACTCTTTGTGAGGATTGGCAGGGAAGGAGATGAGAGTCAAACTTAAACACCCAAGTAACATAAAAAATAATAATAAAAAATGAGCCAAAGATGAGTAAGTCCTAGAGACCTACTGTACAGCATAATTCCCATCGTTTATTTTTAAAAATTTTATTTTTAAGTAATCCCTACACGCAATGTGGAGCTTGAACTCACAACCCTGAGATCAAGAGTCACATGCTCTATGGACTGAGCCAGTCAGGTGCCCCTAATTCCCAGAGTTTATTTTATTTATTTTTTTAAAAGATTTTATTTATTTGAGAGAGAGCACAAGCAGGGAGAGTGGCAGGCAGAGGGAAAAGCAGGCTCCCAGCTGAGCAGGGAGCCTGATGCAGGACTCGATCCCAGGACCCTGGGATCACGACCTGAGCTGAAGGCAGACACTTAACCAACTGAGCCACCCAGGTGTCCCATTCCCAGAGTTTATAATATTGTATTACATATTAAAAACTTGCTAAGAAGTTAGATCTTTTTTTAAGTGTTCTTAATACAAAAAGTAAATGAAAAACTAGGAATGGAAGTTTCCATGTACAAAAATTTCCAAGTTTCCAAATTATGTTTTAACAGGAAAAATTAGAAACTTAAAAAAAGTCAAATCTAGACAGGGAAGACTTTTTTAAGATAGGAAAAATGTCAGCATGTTTAAGAGTTGAGGGGAAAGATTTGGGAAAGAAAGTGTGAAGATGAAAGTAAGGAGGCAGTCCGTGAGGGTGTAAGAGCTGCAGAGAAGACAAGACAGCAGGATTGAGGCAAAGGCAAAGGGACAGGCCACAAATAAGGAGTGATGCCCACTCTCTTGTAGCAAATGGGCAAAGAAAAGATGAATGCAGAGATTTGTAGGTTTGGTAACAGAAATTTGGGAGTTTCAATCGGTTGCCTTTACTTACTTATGAAGTAGGAAAAGAGGTCACTTACGGAGACCATGAAGGTGGAGGGAAAAGGGGAGGAAAGATCAGAGTTTTAAAGAAAGTGCAAATGATTCACCCAACTCTGACTCGTTTCATGGTGCCTTCCACATAGCAGGCACCTCAACATTTGTGGAATGAATGAATGACTGAACTCACTGAGGAGAACAGGAGCATACCTGACAAGGACAAATAGCTGGACTGCCCAGAAACAATGAAAGCTCAGCTGCATTTGGGATCATGAATTTATGGTGCTACCAATCTGCTTCACTCAGTCATATTAAAGAAGGCCAATTCTGGGGAGCAGAAATGAGGGAAGGCTTTTCTTTTTTATTCTCTACACATGTTCATTATATGAAAGCCTTTCATACATACATGTATTATTTCAAATAATTTTCTTTAAGGATTTATTTGACAGAGAGAGAAACAGTGAGAGAGGAAACACAAGCAGGGGGAGTGGGAGAGAGAGAAGCAGGCTCCCCGCTGAGCAGGAAGCCTAATGCGGGGCTTGATCCCGGGATCCTAGGATCCCAGGATCATGACCTGAGCCGAAGGCAGACACTTAATGACTGAACCACCCAGGCGCCCCCAAGTAATTTTTAAAAGGCCTCAAATTCCCCTTCTGGTCCTGTGATAGAGACCTAACAGTGAAAGACTTTCTTTCATGTGTTCTTAATAAATACTCATAACAACTGTGTAAGGTAGTTATTTTTCCTAAAAATCAGTTGGGAAAAAAAAACAAAAAACAAAAAGAGGCTTAGAGGAATATTTGGAGGTGAATCTTGACTCTAGTAAGTCTCCAAAGCCCATGCTTTCCTGTGTCACAAAGTGATAAATTTTAATTATAGCATATTAGTGTGAAATCAGGCCTGCTTTAAAGAGGGAACTTCTTTGGGATTGGTTTCGGGAGATAACTATTATCTGACAGCTCCTAAGCAATTAAAGGTCCTTATTAGGTAGGGCCTAAAGGGTATCATACAGGTATAGAACATCCAAAATATATACCTGCCATCATAAAAGTGAATAATTTTAAAAATTTAAATAATCCAAACAGTGGCCTAATAGCTCACACACACTATCATGAGGTATTATTAATTTAGAGTTTAGGTTTCTGTACTATTAAGAACAGTAAAATTCATTTATCAGAGGACAGTGCCTCTTAAATCTTTCTAACAAAGTCCTCTTAACATGTTAGGATGAACAAATAACCCACAGATCTTATGTGGAGCCCAAAGCCCTCTGCTTCAAACTCATGATTTCATCTTAAAAATGTGTATTAGATGTTAAAATAAACACATACACTTATACGTTAAAAAAATGTATGCTAGCCTGCATTTTGTCCAATATGGTCATATTAATATAACAATGTCTTTTTTTTTAAGATTTTATTTATTTGAGAGAGAGAGCGCGCACACACAAACAGGGAGTGGCAGGCAGAGAGAGAGGGAGAAGCAGGCTCCCCACTGAGCAGGGAGCCCGACGAGGGGCTTGATCCCAGGATCCCGGGATCATGATCTGAGCCAGTCAATTGCTTAACCGACTGAGCCATCCAGGCACCCCAATATAACAATGTTTGAATATACCAGCTAAATTAAATTGCCTAACTTTACTCAGCTAAAATACATATGCCTTGGTGACTTCATATGGTTGCTATGAATATCAAATGGGTTAAAAAGTTAAAGTAATAAAAAATGTTTTGTAAAGTACAATTTACCCAAATATAAAATTGTTTATAAGAATAATATTCAAGGGGAAAAAACAATAATATTCAAGGAGCAATACATTTTGGATAGAGATCAGACGGGGGCAGTATTTTTATCTCTTTTAAATAGGAAAAACAAAGGGAGACACATCCAGGTGACCATACCTTTATGGGCCCAACTACAATTTCTACTGATAAATTCTGCCTCTGTATAAGCTGTAGTTTAACTATGCACAGAAATATAGTTATCATCCAACGAATAAAACAGTCTAATTATTTAGAGAAAGTACTTATACTCTGAGAAAAAATGAAATGGACAGTCCTTAGTTTGAATCATACTATGTCACTTCCCTATTTGGAGATTTGAACATTACCAGTGAGGACTACTAATTAAAGGTTTACTATTTCCTCTCATTACAGCTCCTGTTAATTCATAAATGAGCTATATTCAGGAAAGAATCTTGTGGCCTGACTGCAATGAGAGAAAGATAAAAACAGATGCTAAGCGATGGCTGTTATTAAGTGGTAGGCCATTCACCTATACAAAACTTATATAATTTAGAAAAGGAAGTTATTTATGATCCTCCTACTTTCACACATCCTCAAAAATATTTTTTCATTTGCCACTAGCTAATTTACTTACCCAAATCACTTTTTCGGGCTATGACAGTGTCACAGTGGGGACAGTGAAATTTGGCCACATTTTCTGTGTGCTTCTGTAAAATGTGCATCTTCATGGTACCACTTTGGGTAAACCGAGCATGACAAATATAACATTCATAAGGTTTTTCCCCTTAAAAGGAAATACAGAATGAACAAATTAGATGAAATGAGCACCATCATTTAACTGGAGAGTAATTCAGGTGGTAATTCAGCTGCAGTCAGGTAGCAGAAAAGCTAAGCTACAGAGAATCCTCAGGTGTTACCCAGCGAGCCCAAACCTAAGGCCTGCTGTATGGCTCACACCCGTTCTTAAGAGATGGCACTCAAGTCCTGAACTGCTGGCTGTCAGCTCCACCACAGACTCACTCCCGAGAGCAAGCGAGTGAGCAATTCCTACAAGGCCCGCCTTTGGGGGACAGGAGATGGACAACAGGAAGACCTCCAAGTTCTTTCTCAAGTTATCTTTATATCCAACATGGGGCTCGAACTCAAGACCCCGAAATCAAGAGTCACACACTCAACCGACTGAGCCAGCCAGGCACCCCTACAAATTTTTCTTTTTTAGGAAAACACAGTATGGGAGAAACTGAATGAGTGGATTAGGTAATCTACCCAGACTCCTAATAGTGAAACTTTCCATTCTCCAATGTATTCTCAGAACAATGAATTCAGAAGATATGCCAGAGAGGCATTTGTCAATTCCATTACTTTTATGCCAGCTCCCATTCTGGTAAGCAACAGGGGTGTGAGGTGGTTTAAAGGGTCCCATGGGATCCACTGAAAAGCAGCTCATTAATACAACAAGGAGGGAAGATGTCCTACCTGAATGAGTTCTCATGTGCCTTTTCAGCTTGTATGTGTCCCTGCTGGCATAACTGCACAAGCTGCACTGGAACGGACGCTCCCCAGTATGAGAGCGAATGTGACGTTTTAATTTGCTGACCTGAAACATGAAAGCACAATGACTGTAATGTGAATGCTGTGGGTCAGGCACAAAACCTTAGCTTTTGGGCACTAAAGTTCAGAATACAGAAAAAGTCTAAAATACATTATTTCTTCCTCCTTATTTGTAATTTTTGTTTCTCAAATCCTTATAATCCAAAGAGAGTAAATAAATGGATAGGGCATAGATGACTCAAGATGGGTTATTAATAACTACTTAAGCTGGGTGATAAGATTCATGGGGGTGTATTATCCTATTTTGTCTATTTCTATATATGTCTTCTGCTTTTTTATAGATTTGAAATTTCCATAACAGCTGAAGTAATCCATGCTTATCTACAGATCAATTTCCTTCCAGATACATAGGTATCAGATGTTTTTTTGTTGTTCAGTTTAACCCTAAATAATTTTATTGCTATTAGAATGTGAACCTATTTCCTGCTATCTATCGTATAAAGTAAGTTACTGGCTTCTGTGTATTTGTCTTATATCTGGCCACCCAAATGGACTCTTACTGCTCTATGTTTTTTTCAGCTGATATTCTTGGATTTTTTTGGTGTAAGCAAGTATATCTGCAATAAATAAGTTTTACCGCTTATAATTAATTTCTTATTTAGCTGGGATTTCCAATACAATCACAATGTTGAAACAGTAATGGTAAGAACAGATGTCTTGTTCCAAATTTTTATTATTTACTTATTTATTTTTTTAAAAGATTTTATTTATTTGACAGAGAGAGACACAGTGAGAGAGGGAACACAAGTAAGGGGAGTGGGAGAGGGAGAAGCAGGCTTCCTGCTGAGCAGGAAGCCTGATGCGGGGCTCAATCCCAGGACCCCAGGATCATGACCTGAGGTGAAGGCAGATGCTTAACGACTGAGCCACCCAGGCGCCCCTTATTTATTTTTAAGTAATCTCTACACCCAATGTGGGGCTCACGACCCCAAGAGATCAAGGCACCTGTCTTGTTCCAAATTTTATTGGGATACTCCCAATGCTTCAGTTAACTGGGATGGATTGACTACGGGTTTCTGGTATATACTCCTTATAGTAAAGCTATTTTCTTCTACTCTTAACTTGCTAGGACTTTAAACAGTAATGAATATTGAATTTTATAGCTTTTCAGTAATCTACAGAAATGATCATATGGTTTTTCTTAAACTTCTCAATGTAGCACACACCAGTAATTTCCTAATGTTCAACTCTCCTTGTATTTTAGATATATTCTATTTAGTGATCATTTAATTTTAAAATATATTATTCAATTTGGTGAATAATTTGATTTAGCTTAGTTTTCTCTGAGAATAAGATACACTTTTCTTTTTGGTAGCATTCTTACCCAGTTTTGATAACAGTGTAGCCTCAAATAGTAAAGGAGATAACATTTTCCTTTTTTTTTTTAAAGTAGGCTCCAATGCCAGGCCTGAACTCACAACCATGAGATTGAGAACCTGAGCTGAGATCAAGGGTCGGACACCTGACCAACTGAGCCATCCAGATGCCCCCAAATTTTCCATTTTTAATTGCTCCAGGTACAGTTACTTGTTTCTTTGATGTTTCGTAGAACCTACCTATAACAACATGTTGTAGTAGTGCTTTTTTTAAAATGGGTAAGTCTTTCACATTCATTACAGTTTTAGTATTTTTGGTGGCAGGGAAGGGGAGTGGAAGTGTTAATAATCTCATAAGATTTTCTATCTCATCTTAAGTCAGTTTGGGTAGTTCTTATACTGGAATCATGGTCTTAGGAGAGGAATCAACAAGTTGCTCAACACTCACTTCTACACTGGCGTAATCGCACATGGAACACTTAAATGGCTTCTCATGGGTGTGTTTATAACGACGATGCCGCACCAATTCTCCACTAGTCACAAAGGCCATGTCACAGTCTGGGCACTTGTGAGGACGAGTACCTAGAGAAAGGAGGTTATAACAGGAAGACAACAAGATCAAGGGCACAGTTAATGACAGTTCAACATCTGACGAGAACTGCAGCATGAGGTTGAACCCTGGTCATCTCAACAACCTTGCACTAGCCTGAGAATAACTCCAAAGCAATAGGGGGGCCCGGCAGACTTTCTAACATTAACCCCAGAATATTGGAAAACATGTGCCACCCATTTAATTTCTCTTAATCACCCATTTGAGTGCTGCTTTTGAATACAAAAATCGCCCCCCCCTTTTAAAATACTCATAGAAAGAATTACTATTAAACTCCACTCAACTGGCCAGAGACCCTTGTGGTGATATCAAAAAGACTTGCACCTCATGGAGCACACTACCTACACTTGTGAGTTCATCAGCCAGCCAAAATACAAAATCCTTTTTACCCCTAGTTTATGAATTCTGATCACTATGGATCAAAAGTCTGTTTCAACTTTTTTATTTTTTAAAAGATTTTACTTATTTGAGATAGAGAGCACGTGCATGAGCAGGGGGAGGGGCAGAGGGAGAAGCAGATTCCCCTGCTGAGCAGGAAGCCTGGGGTGGGGGGTGCCCAATCCCAGGACCCTGGGATCATGACCTGAGCCCAAGGCAGATGCCACTGAGCCACCCAGGCACCCCTATTTCAACTCTTGATTAAAAAAATATAGAACACCTTGGGGCACCTGGGTGGCTTGGCAGGTTGAGCATCTGACTCTTGATTTCAGTTCTAGTCATGATCTCAGGATCATGAGATGGAGCCCAACATCAGGCTCCATGCTTGTGGAAAGTCTACTTGAGATTTTCTCCCTCTGCTCCTACCCCACCCCCTGCTGATGTGTGCACACTTTCTCTCAAATAAATAATTTTTTTTTTTAAGATTTTATTTATTTGACAGAGAGAGACACAGTGAGAGAGGGAACACAAGCAGGGGGAGTGGGAGAGGGAGAAGCAGGCTTCCCGCAGAGCAGGGAGCCCGATGAGGGGCTCGATCCCAGGACCCTGGGATCATGACCTGAGCCGAAGGTAGACGCTTAACGACTGAGCCACCCAGGTACCCCTAAATAAATAAATCTTAAAAAACAAAAACAAAAAAACATCTCTTAAACCTCAATGTTTTGTCAAGCAGAGGTCACAGAATTAATAGTTATTTGACCCAAAGATATTCAGAAATAGATTGCATTAGGAATGTAAAAGAAGATAAAGGAGACTGGGAAATAAAAATAGTTCAGCATACGTGAAAATAAATTTCAGATAAATAAACAACTAAATATTAAAAACATTAAAAAAAAGTTATTTGACCCAAGATTCTTCTGCATATCAAATCTTACTGTATTATGACTGTACATATAGGGACATTGGGCTGTCCATATTCGGATACTTTTTTCTAAAGAAAAAAACAAAAAAAACCCCAAAAACCAAATGTAATAGCTTGTTTTCTATATAAATTTATTTTGATAATTCCAGAAATTTATCAAAGGCTTTACAAAGTAGTACTGCCTTTTATGTGATTTAAACAGATGACCCTTTTTTCAAAAAAGATTTTACTTATTTATTTGGGGGAATGGAGGGGGAGGAGTGTGCAAGCAGAGGGAGAAGGACAATCAGACTCCCCTGCTGAGAGCAGAGCTCAACTTGCCTCTGAGATCCCATGCCTCTGAGATCATGACCTCAGCCGAAATCAAGAGTTGGACACTTAATCAACTGAGCCACCCAGATTCCCCAAAAGATCACCTTTAAAAAAAAAAAAAAAATCTCTACACTCAACGTGGGGCTTGAACTTACAACCTCAAGATCAAGAGTCGCATCCTCTACTGACTGAGCCAGCCAGGCACCCCTAAACGGATCACTTTCAAACATCCATATCTAATATTCTGTGATCTGAATGTGAAGTCATGAAATATTTAAACATTTTTACAAACTAATATACTCCACTTTCTTTTTCCCTTTTACTGAAGGAATCTTACTGTTTTTAGTATGTCCTCACATAGTAGCCCTATAACATAACTGACTGATTATATTACTGGATCTTCTCTAGTCACTTTATATTCTAAATATAGCATTGGAAGTATGCCCAGGTAATGATGACAAGGAGATAAGCTGACAACAGAACACAGTGCTGTTTTCATGGATTACTGAAAAACTAGGGACCATGTGTAATTGCGCACTGCAGGTAATGGATGACAACAAAGTAATCCCGAACACCAAAATCAAAGGAAGGTTACCTCTGAGAACGGAATTAGAAAGAGTCACAATGTAATGAATGGGCCTAGCCATCTGCAGAAATGATTCTGAGATGGACAGAATCCTCAAGAGGGAAGTGTGATTAAACTATGATAGTAACTAAGAAATTTCAAGGAATGTTCATTTGCTCAGTTTGCTTCTTTATTATCACTGGAGATGTAGGAGTGAAGGACAGAGTTCTTGTCTATGAAAAAGAATCTGGCAGCACAGATCGATAAGTGAAACAACAATTAAGAAAGAAAGCAGGATCCATTTCTGTTAGGATAAACTGAACTGAAAACCAAGAATTTCTCATGTTTACCTAGTACTTTCTAGGGGACAGAAAGAGGCCTGCTACTGGTAGACATAAGCATGGCAATTAGGAAAGAAGCAGACATTGCTGTACAACAGAGATTTCCATTGGGTTCTACCACATGATTGCGTATGTCCCTCTACTCAGATCCATGCTTACCAAGTCACCATTCAATTGCTACATCTTCTTGATATAAGCAAGGGTATCCCCTAGAATGCAATACAACTGCATCCAGAAAAGGAAAAGGTGTATTCCTCACCATAAACTCTTTCTGATTCCATCTGACCCTTGAGGGTTTGATTAGTATGACTCAGTCCTGCGAAATTAGCTCTGAGCGACTAGACAGACCACACTCTTATTTTCAAAGCTGAGGACTAGACCACGACATACAGTGCCCACATCAACCACTCCCATTTTAGGAAGTCCTATTATGTGGCCAAATGCTTTTATCTAGTCATATGCCCTTTCACAGTGTCTTCAAACTACCAAATAAAATATACTATCAAGTGTCTTGAGTAGAAAGCAGGGAAATAATGAAAAGTGACCAAATCATATTAGCAAAGAATATACTAATGCACAACATATTGCTTACAGGCCAAACTCCACTTGCTCATGCTCAGTAGACTACCAGCACATCAAATCAAAAACAAGAGCTGTGTTAAGTGGAGAATCTGGATAGAGGAAAGCTACTCTGCATGAAGAACCATGTGAGAGAAGTTTCTATCAGCACTTATAGCCAAATGCCAATATTGAAAGAGCAAAGAGCCCAGAAGACAGCCTAAAGAGAGCTCCTGCACAGTCCCTCCACTTTAGTGACTCCTGAGACCTGATCATAGCCAACATGACACTAACATAGAATATTAAAGTATGGGGGTGCCTGGGTGGCTCAGTCGGTTAAGCGTATGCCTTTGGCTCAGGTCATGATCCCAGGGTCCTGGGATCGAGCCCCACATTGGGCTCCGTGCTCAGCGGGGAGCCTGCTTCTCCCTCTCTCTCTGCCTGCTGCTTCCCCTGTTTGTGTGCTGTCAAATAAATAAATAAAATCTTAAAAAAGAATATTAAAGTATGTATGGAGCACAAATGAATAAGTGTCTGAATTGCTAGAGTAACGCCTTAAACTTTCCATTCTGAGATTATGAATTACTTACCTTTGTTGAAGTGAAACAACCAGAAACCATGGCTTTTACAAAGAATTGCATTGCTATTTCTAATGTTCATCCTTATAGTGCCTGGCAATTGTTGCCCGGGAATTTCGGGCATCATTTTTTGTCACTGATGTTAAAACCTTGGCAATGCGGATGATGATGTCCTTTAGGAAATATTACAGGTTAACCTCCATAATTTTTTTCTGGATCACCATACTTAAACAGTTTGGATTATTTTTCACTAGATTTTCTTTACATTTGCCTACAAATTCATCTGCTTATAATAAATCAGGATTACAACATAAGAAAGAACAAAAATCATTCTTCTTTAACTTCCCACCAGAACCACCTTGGATGATACTTAAAACCCAAGTTTTAACCTTTGCTATGCTGTAGCCCCCAACATTCATATCCAGCACCTGTGTGTGTGTTAAGGTGATTCCTCAGGAGGGTGACTGTTCTGAATGCCCTGCCACAGAGATGGCACTTGTGTGGTCTCTCATCAGTGTGACTTTTCATGTGACGATCCAAATTTGAACGCCGTGGACATGTATAACTGCACAGCTCACACTGGAATGTCTTCTTTACACCTATATGAAAAACAAAACACTTACTTCTTGCAAGGTTTCAAACTGTTAAGTTTAACCCTAATGTTAAATTTCTACAAATAAATTTCATTAGCCTTTTTTAACTAAATCCAATCTAAGTCATATTAAATCGTTATTATTTCATGCCACTAATAGATTTACTTCTTTGTCTTCAGGACTTAAAAAATACTGAATTTGGAAAAACTTTTAGACTGGCTAAAAGGACTGGTACCCAGCTCATGATCTTAAAAACAAAACAAAAAACCCATTTACTATAAAATAATTTGCATATACCCTGTGTTATTTGCTTTATCCCAAAATGATTTTATGAGAATATAATAGATAAACTCATTTTACCTTTCTTTTTAATTTTTGTTGGTTTTGGAGGCTTCATGTTACCAACCACTTTCTCTGCATTAACCTCCGATAGCAGACCCTCCTGCTGCTCTTCCTCAAAATCGTAGACAGATACATCCACATCTTTGCCCTCCTCTGTGTAACGCAGTTTGCTCTTTTTGGTTTTCTTTGTTTTTTTGGCTGGCGGCTGATAATCTGGGTCTTTTTGCCAACTAGGATCTTCTTGAGGCGGAAGTTCCCCTTGCTCTAGCGTCTCCACCTCTCCATTGGCCCCTACTTTCACCACTTGAAACCCTTCGGGCAAAGGTAAGGTGTGACATATCATGGGTTCGCTTTCTGCAAGGCCCTCTTTAGACACTTCATTCTCATAAGCCCCCTGAAGTTCTTCTACCGAAGTGGTGGCAACAGGTACAGTCACGGGAACGGGTACTTGGACAAGCTGAAGCTCTCCTATGTTTATGGGCTGTTCCTCCATATTTACAACCTGCAAGGTTATGATCTGGGTATCGTCCACAGCAGCCTCTGCTTCTGGAGCGACTGTACCCTCCATTACTTCAGTCTTCATCTGAAGAAGGGTGGGATCCAGCTGTTCCATCATTACCATCTGTACACTGCTATTGACATCCTGGACCACCTCACCCCCATCAGTCTGGTTCTGGGGCAGGTGACAAGTGTCCTCTTCCTGGCCCCCTTCCCGGCGTCTCTGGTAAGTCTTTCTTTCCTTTCCTTTAATGAAAGTTTCAGACTCTTCCACAATGGCTTCAACCGCCTCACCTTCCATTTCCCCTTCCTTTATTAAGGGAGAACACAGATTGTTATTCATCCATTCATTCATTCATTCATTCCACAAACGGTTATTTAAAATAAAACTTGTCTAAATGAAAATACATACATTTTAAAAGAAAATGACCGTTGAAAAATGAATTAGGAAATAAATGGTTAATATTCAAAAAGACACAACAGATATTATGTACCTCCTGATAGAAGAACAAACTACCACCTATGAAGCAGTCTTGTTAAAACAAAAAATCTGAAACTAATCAAGTCTCTAGAGCCAACCACTAATTAACAGGAAATTGGTGACAGAATATGTTTCTTTTTAAAAGATTATTTGAGAGAAAGAGCATGTGCATATGAGCAGGGGGAAGGGAGAGGAAGAAGCAGACTCCCTGCTGAGCAAAGAGCCTGATGAAGGGCTTGATTCCAGGAACCCCGAGATCATGACCTGAGCCAAAGTCAGATGCTTAACCAACTGAGCCACCCAGGCGCCCTGGTGAGAGAGTACGTTAAATTACACTACCAGGATGAAATCAGTACGGCAACTCTGCAGGATTAACTACCCAGTTTCTTCTGCAGATAAATCACCAAGACAAAAAATGGAAGAATAGAGGGAGAATGTACATATCAATGGTTCTCAACCTGGTGACTTTGCCTCCAGGGGGCATATGGCAAGGCCTGTGACATTTCTGGTTGTCACTACCGGGATGGGTGTGCTACTAGCATCTAGTGGGTAGAGGCCAAAGATGTCACTAAATATCCTGCTATGCACAGGTTCAGTCCTCCACAACAAAGAATTATTGGTCTGCAAACGTCAATAGTGCTGAGGCTGAGAAACCCTGATAGACAAAAGAGATGTAAGAAATACAGTACTGGGGCACGTGGGTGGCTCAGTCAGTTGAGCTCCTGATTTCAACTCAGGTCGTGATCTCAGGATCCTGGGATCAAGCCGGGGTGTAGGGCTCTGCACTCAGTGGGGAGTCTGCTTGAGACTCTGTGTCCTTCTGCCCCTCCCCTGGCTCGCAAATGTGCACACGTGCTCCCTCTCTCAAATAAATAAATCTTTAAAGGAATACAGCAGGGGGGCCTGAGTGGCTCAGTTGGTTAAGCGTCTGCCTTCGGCTCAGGTCATGATCCCAGGGTCCTGGGATCAAGCCCGTATCAGGCTCCTTTCAGCGGGAAGCCTGCTACTCCCTCTCCCTGCCGCTCCCCCTGCTTGTGCTCTCTCTCTGTGTGTGTCATATAAATAAATAAAATCTTAAAAAAAAAATAAAGAAATACAGCAATCACAACATATGGATCTTTTTGGATCCCGATTCAAACCAACAAACGATTTAAAAAAATAGGACATGAGACAATTAGATTCAACTCTGGATTTTTTTTCCCAGTTCTGGATATTTGATATTAAAGAATTATTAGCAAAACTAGTTTAAATCCTTTACATTTCCCGTATCTATTAATAAAAACACTGGCAGAGGGCCTTGCTATTTTTAGCTAAATTCTACCTTAGAAAATACCCTGTCAGTGTTTTCTCACCCTTTTTCGAGCCAGAATCAGACCATGGATCCAGACTCCAATGGTCCTGATTGTGGCTACCACACAACACTACCTCCTGTGTTATACCATCAACTTGACATTCATGCATCTCTCCTCTGTGATATCATGAATTCCTTGAGGACAGGGACCATGTATAACAAGTCATTTCTGCTCCTCAGCACTATGCCCAGGTTGGTAGATACTCAACTGCTAACTGAACATATTAAAAAAACGGGAAAAGAAAAAAGAGAATTCATAGTTTCTGGCTCTTAAATCTTGTGAGTACCAAAAGTACCTAGACACCTAACAGTAAAATGGGTATGAACAATCATCTAATTCACAAAATAATTTAACTTAAGTATATACAAGATTAATTCAAAATTAAAGTGTTTTGTGTCCTTGCCCTAGTCTTACACAAATATTTTGCCACTTCTATGAGAGACACATGTCTCCAATTCTCTGTCTGGGCACCTTAACACTGTACACATGCTGGCACTCAGAACCACCTACAAGGCAGGAAAAAGACTACAGAGGGACGGGTGAGACCTGGTCCTGCATTCAGTGAGTTACTATCTATTTTATTGTAAAAGTTTATTTAAGTAATCTCTATACCCAAGGTGGGGCTCGAACTCACAACCCCAAGATCAAGAGTCACATGCTCTTCTGCCTGAGCCAGCCAGGCGCCCCTAAGGAGTTACTATCTAACTTAAGGGACAGAACAGGTACAATGTTTAAGGTAAAAGTAGGTAGGTTTGGAGAACTCTACATAACCAGTGTGAACTAGTCACACTAAATTCTCAACAGTCCCATGTGGCTGGAGCTACTGTGTTGGACAGCACTGCTTTATATCTTCGTTTCTCGAAGCATGATCCAAGGACCAGCAGCAATGGCATAACCATGGAACTTGTTAGAAGCACAGAACTTCAGGCTCTATTCTTTTTTCTTAAGCAATTCTATTTTTTTTTAAGTTTTCTATTTATGTAAATAATCTCTACACGCAACATGGGGCTCAAACTCACAACCCTGAGATCAAGAGTCACACACTCTTCCAAATGAGCCAGCTAGGTGTCTCTTCAGGCTCTCCTCTTGACCCACAGAATCAGAATTTGCAATTTAATAGATCTCCAAGTGGTTTCCTACACTAAAGTTTGAGAAGTACTACTTTATACCATTGCTCTTCACAGATTTTTTAAAAGCGTTTTCAGGCCAGGAAGGTCCCAAAATTAGTACCCCAACAAGGATGGGTAATTTCAAATGTTGGAGTTAGGGAACAGAGAAAAAGCCCACCTACCTTGGTGACATTCTTGGGAAAAAAACCAAAGCACAAAGAACAGAAAATTCATAAGCCATAAATGCTAATGCTGACCCTGCCAGAGAATCACTACATAATCCCAAGCTATTTAGATATCCTCGAATGTAAAACTGGTGGAGGAAAAACATTTAATTTCTGAGCTCTGCTGGGTTGTGAGGCATACAACAATTTGAAGAACAAAAAAAAATCCATCTCTGCCTTGAATTTGAGAACTTTTAAATATAAATAATTTGTAAATACTTGCTTGTAAATAACCAAGTCTAACCTAAAGAAATCACTGTAATTATAAACCAGGTAGAAAAAGAAATGGTACAAGGAGTACAAATTGAAACCAATTGTGCTGCCAGGGAGCTGAGCTGAAGGTATTCTCTCACTGTGAAAAAACACATGGCATAGGGTTCCTGAACATCAGCCTCTACTCAGGGTCTTAAAGCAGGAGCTTCGCTGCTTTTACAGAGAAAAATCAACTACAAAGTAGAAAGGCACCCATCTCTCCCTTACACTGCTTAGAAAACTCAAAAGCATCCCCTCAAGCAGTGGATCCCTTTACCTAACATTCTCCCTTAGAAGGGAGTCTCTCCTCTGAATCAATAACTAACCTATAGACTGGACCAGGTCTCTCTTCCTACTCCCTAAGGACTGTGCTTCTGCTAGCCTGTACCTTTATAGCATACCATACAACTTTAGCAGTTATGATCCACTTCTTCTCTTCCTCTACAGACTCAGCTCTGCTTCCACTCAGTTTCTCTTAGCCACACAACACACACAGAACACACAAAGAGACTCTTAACTATAGGAAACAAACTAAGGGTAGCTGGAGGGGAGGTAGGTGGGGGGGATGGAGTAACTGGGTGATGGGCATGGAGAAGGGCACTTGATGTAATGAGCACTGGGTGTTATATGCAAGTGATGAATCACTAAATTACCTCTGAAACTAATAATATACTATATATTAAATTGAATTAAAAAAAAAAAAAGAACACACTTACACTCCCCCTCCCCTTGCTCCAGTCAGCCATGCTTTCTAGATTTTTCAAACATTTTTGTGGACCAACGCTACTAAAAAGGGATTTACACTTACTTTCAGAACACAATTTTTTTTTTTTTTTTTTAGATTATCAAAGTAGGTTAGTTAGAGAAATCTGAAATGTGAAGCACATAAAATACATATTTTTTAAGTTATTCAAGGGGTGCCTGGCTGGCTCAGTCAGTGGAGCATGGGACTCTTGATCTTCGGGTTGTGGGTTCAAACCCCATGTTGGGTGTAGAGATTACTTAAAAAATAAAATCTTAAGGAAAAAAAGTTATTCACAATCCCTATACCTGGAGATAATCACCTAGCCCTTTTATTTTTTTTCAGTGTTTTTCCCCCTTATGGATATGTATTTTTATATAGATGAGATGACATCATACATTTAGTTTGAACACACTTGTATATGGCTTTGCTCACCTATCTTCATAACATATCCTTATAAAAAGGACTCCATTCCCTCTTTAGCCTTCTGTGGTCCCTCTGCTTGGTCCATAAGCACCACGTACCAAGAACCACAGCAGCTAACCCAAAGGCCTTCCCGTCATCCCCAATCTCAGTTTCTCTGGCAGTTGACAGTATGAAACTTTATTCCTCCTTCATTACCTCTTTTCTCCCTCTGTCTTTCCTAGGTCTCTTCCTTTGTCTCTGAGAACTACTCCACCTACCCCTCCAAACACATCAAGGCTCTGTTCCTTTCTCTGTAGCCACCCCATTTGCTAGCCTTTTTACTTCAGCTGTCTCCACAGAGATCTTTCAAATCCATATCTGCAATTCCCTAGTTTCACTGTCTATAGGAGATCTCTCCATGTGGATGTGTGGCTATCACCTTCAACTCAATGGCACTGGAGAAGGAATAAAGAAACCTGGACTGCAGTCCCTAATCCATCACTGACCAAAGGTGCTTAGAAAGTAGGTTAGTCCTCTGAAAAACAGATCCTTTCTGTATTCTGTCATCCTGGTGACAAAGTGAAGCTTAGAAATATTTGTTTAATTAATATATTTATTTTTTAAGATTTTATTTATTTGTCAGAGAGCGCGCACACATGCACAAGCAGGGGGAGCTGCAGGCAGAGGGAGAAGCAGGCTCCCTGCTGAGCAAGGAGCCCAATGTGGGACTAGATCCCAGGACTCT